GATACAAACAGGAAATTACTCTCAGACAGTCTGACTGATCCTAAAAGCCTTTTGGTCTTTCTTCACTTTTTTCATCTTCAGTAAATGCTGCTTCATGTTCTTGGTGGATCGTTCCTTCTGAGCACTTTAGAAAGTGTCTTTATGTTAAAATATCTACAGATAGAGTTTGGGGTTTTTTTACTTACCAACAGGCTGAGGATAATTCAAAGTAACAGGAGCTTCTTTTCTTTGTTCAGCGCTGGTGTGCTGACAGGTCACATGTGTTCCATTGTTCATTTCTACAATGCGTTCCATGTTTTCTAGTAACTCCCGAATGTTGAGGTTTTCAAGCTGCAGTGACTTGTTATTACATCGTCTGATCATTTCCTGTATAGGTGTATGATACATAACAGTATGCCGTAAACCTGGATGCCTCTCTCTGGGTGGTGATATCAGAACCAGTGAATGATCAAAGGAATGATCACTGAAGAAGTTCAGGACTCTGCAGAGTCTCATTTTTTGATGCTCAGTGAAGTCTTCAGGCTGTAGAACCAGCAGGAACACATGAGGTCCAGGATCAGAGAGCCTCACACAGTTGTTCACATGTTCCTTTAATTTGTCCTCAGAGATTTTTAGATGAAGCAGATCTGGAGTATTGATGAGAACTATTTCTTTCCCTTGAATGTGTCCACTGACTCTCACACATCGGTCCAGTTCTTCCTCAGGGTTGAACTTGTTCTCTCTCAGTATAAAGTTTCCCACTGAGCTCCTCTCAGACCAGCTGTTCCCCAGCAGGACAGCTCTGAGCTCAGACACTGAAACGACAGCAAACACAAACACTGAACAAAGAACCTTTCAAAGTTAATACAAGCAGAAACAACATTATATCATAGGTTTTAATTAATCTAAATTTAATAATTTTCCACTTGTAACCACTGAGTTGTAATTACTGAAAAATGCACAAAAATTGTCAGTTTGTTAAAATATGTGTTATTTTTTCTCGTATTTATGGATCATTACTGAGCCATAAATATATATTCACATGTGAGAATACAACATAAACTTTGAGAACTGAAAAATGTCATGGTCCCTGTGTCTCCCCGGCCAGCCCAGTGTGGCCACAAGTGTTTGTTGTTTTGGTAAATGGACTGGTTCTTATATAGCGCTTTTCTACTCTTTCTGAGCACTCAAAGAGCTTTATACAACTACTGGATTCATTATTCATTCACCCAAGCACTTTTTTCTTAACTTTTAAGTGCTAAGTATCTACCATTCATACACATTCACACTTCGATGAATGCATCGGAGAGCAACATGGGCTTAGTATCTTGCCCAAGGATATTTGGCATGCAGACAGGAGCAGCCTGGGATCGAACCACCAACCTTCTGGTTAGTAGCTGACCTGCTCTGCCACCTGAGCTACAGCCACCCCCGAGGGCTCGCCTTGCTCTCTCTCGTCTGTCTGCCTGGGCGGAGCATCTGATCACCGGTGATTTGCAGTTTGATCTCTGACTCTTCTTAAGGCGGGGGCTCTGAGCTACTCGTCGCTGGAATATTGAGTAACTCTCGTTAGTATTGCCTGGCTTCATTGTGATTCTGTTGTTCCCGTGCTTGCCTTGGATTAATCCTCGTCTCTGTAAATAGTAGTGATGGCCAAATGAAGCTTTCTGAAGCACTGAAGCTTGTATTGAAAAACGGTTCATTACTCAAAGCTTTTCAACACAGTCCTCTCTGGTGACATCTGGTGACGAAAATTATGAAGAGCAGCTTGAATCTACAAAATAAAATGGACTGCTTCATTATCACTGCTCACTCTACAGAGTGGAGTTCTGTTTGGTATAGGGCCACCGTTGCGTTGCTTTGAACATGTAATTGTTTTTTTCCTTTGGGGGGGGGCTGAAAATACATAAGCATTTTGCAATTTCGCATGATTGTAAAATGCTTAAATTTCTTCAGTATTGAACAGCAGAAATGAGACTTCCTCATGGGAAGTTAGTACATAACGGTAGGCCGGTGGATAATAAGTAAGCGAAAATTGCAGAAAACAGAGATTTGTAGATGGGAAACTGTTCTTGAAATACACTGAGAGAGAGAGAGAGAGAGCTGTGCATGAAGCGTGATTTTAGCGGGGTGGAAGCAAAACAGAAAAGATACGAGGGAATTCATGACGATGTTTATATGAAGCGAAATGTGAAGTGTGGTTTGGATCTTCATTTGCTGGAGGTTCAGTCAATTTTGTTTGGAGAGTGATGAAACCTGCAGCTGCAGAATCTAGCGAAAAAAAGAGTTAAACACAGAGCGCGTACCTTAGTGCAATGTCGTTGCATCTGTCTTTCTTATCCTCCCTCACTGGTGTCGGATCTTCTTTTCTGTGCCTCTTTGCTGACTTTATAAGCGCCCAACAACATTGTCATCCCCTATGTAGCCGGTGTATCAGAGAAAGTCATGGGGAGTTTTCTCCAAGCACGACATCCCAGTGCACTTCAGACCCAGCAACACACTCAGACACAAACTGGTTCACCCGAAAGACAAAACACAAACTTAACTATGTGTTGTATGCTGTACAGTGTAGCGAGGAATGTCTGCCACCTGTAATCCAGTTTTGAGATCCCTTTCCAGACGCCTTAATGCCCACTCACATCCATCTGACCTCAGGAAATCACACGATAGGGTGGGGCCAGGTTTCACAATGAGCTCACCCGAAACCCTGGCTGATTGTGACCCACACCCATTTTCACACCTTGGCTCATGTGATTAGGTAGAGGATCATCAGGGGTCCTTTTGTCTCTCTTTGGAGGGAAACTCCCACTGGGTTTAAATCTGGGACTCTCCACCATTTGACCTTAGAACTGAAGAAGCTTCTCGGATGAGAGGTGAAACGTCTTCAAGCAACTTAAACAAGTACAGACGCTTTTCTTTCCAAGCTCCTTTGACAACGATGACCTGAGGACCTTCACACACACACACGCGCGCATGTTTTGTTTTCAAACTCCATTGCAGTTTATTTCACACCTTAAACATTTAGTAAACAATTCAAATGCAATAAATTACAGGTAGCAATAACTACTAACTCTTTTACGCATCGCCAACACCTACATGGGTATTTTTGAAAACGCAGCTTTTTCTATGCGTTTGGACCTCTCGCCCACACGTGAACAGCGTTTTTGACTATCTGCAGGTTTTACACGCTTACATACACACACGCAGTTACTGTCCCTCCATTTAGAAAGGCAGAGGCATCACGGTGTGATTATTTTACATGTAGTTTTTTTTTTCCTGTGCAATAATATTCAACATTGCTAACAAGAATTTTTTTTTCAAAAACTTTCTCTGTGCAAAATGGGTTCATAAACAACTGTGGGATACTGTTTGTCTGTGGTTTGGACAGGGGGAACAATTAGTGGCAGGATCAGCCTGATGTTATTTGTATCCCACAGTAACTTTACTGTATAAAGAGCTAACGTCTCTGCCAGCTGGACCTCACCCAGCAGTTCGTGGTGGATGCATCAGAGTCGGGGCCGTGCTTTCTCAATGGTTTGAGGGTAAGCTCCACCCCTGTACCTTTTTCTCTTGTCGTCTCTCCCCAGCTGAGAAGAATTATGACATTGGAGATCGCAAACTGCTGGCTATAAAACTTGCTCTGGAGGAGTGAAGAGACTGGCTGGAGGGGCCGCACAGCAGTTTATCATATGGACTGATCATAAAAACCTAGAGTACATCCGCTCGCCGAAGCAACTCAACTCACAGCAGGCCAGGTGGGCTTTGTTTTTCACCCGGTTTAATTTCACTCTCACTTACAGGCCAGGCTCCCAAACGTTAAACCAGACGCTGTGTCCCGGCAATTTGCCTTAGTCGGATAGGAATCCGACCCTGGACCGGTTCTGCCGGCTTCCTGTA